ACATATAAGGCAAGCATGCAACACATGCGAAGGATGGTCTTAAACTAATTTAGGCAGCCCTAAAACAAGCCCAAAATAGTGGCCAATGCTAAAGAAATGGGGCCAAATGCACATACAAGCATGCATGCATACAAGGTCCAACCCTTAAGCATATAGAGACAACTCTTAAGCACACTTAAAAGAGGAACATCATGAGCACATGGCATGCATATTAAGCTCTGAAAAACACATGTGGATGGTGCCAAACCAATCTAAACCAAGCAATCAAAGCATGCTAACAAGCCCAAAGCTTGAGACCAACCAAAGGGTTCAAACCATGGCCATGCCAACCAAGCCTCAAAGGGCCAAGGGGACTCCAAACAGCCCCAATGCAGGTCTAAACAAGACCAAAGACACACTTAGATGGGATCTAAATGGTCTAAACAGGCAAGCATACAAAAGGCTCCAAACATGGGGCACAAGACAACAACCTTTTAACATATGAAAGGGGCATCAAATGTAAGCATACAAGCACACCAGTAGGACTGAAATGGCATGGCAAGTGGTTCCAAACCACTGAAACAAAGCAAGGATGGCATGCTAGAGGGGTCAATGCTCAAGGCATACAAGAGGGATTACATGGTAGCTATACAAAGCGAAGCATGGATGACCCGAATGACTAAAAACGGATCTCAAGCACACTAAAACAAGCATAAAAGCTTCACAAAGCTAGGTCAAAACACATGAGCATGGTAGTCTAAATGCTATGTACATGTTAAGGCAAATCATGGCATTACAAGACATGTATGCAAGGAAAACATGGTGTGTCTAAACCAAGTAAAAACAGTGCTATATCATGGCAAAGTAAGCACAAATAACACTTAAGACATGGTCAACATGAACTTCAAAATGGTGCTCACACATGAGGCTAAAATGGCACTTTTTGAAGGCAACAAGGAGAGGGGATGGCCCTCTCCTTCTTAGGACCTTAAGACACCATCCTTACCACTGAAATCCCTTAAGATTTCAGTGGTGAGGAGGCCCTAACAAGATGGTCCCGGAGCTTACCAAAATAGCACAAAAATAGGGCCTAACAAGGCCTAAGAGGGGTCAAACAACCCCAAAGCTCAAAGCAACCTTAAACAAATATTTTAAGCAAGTAAAAACAAGACTTTTATATGTTATACACTAAGCTTGAAACAGCAAGCAAGGTAGGCAAAAAGACTATGCAAAAATGGGGTAAAAAGGGCAAGAATCTTACCCTTGAAGACCTTCTTCACAAGGATCACTCCAGCAGCTTTCTTAGCTCCAAACCAGCTCAAAAACTTCAAGGATAGCCCCCTAATGCCTTAGCAATCAAGGTAAGGTGTAATGGTAGGTGTCCTAGTGCAAAACTAAGGACAAACACACACTTAGAGCAAAAGAGAGGGAGAAATAGAGATAGAATAGATACACTATGCTAACCCTAGAACCAGAGCTCCCCTCAGCCTTTTTATTTTGTAACCCTAGAGGAGGGGGGAGAAGCCTCCTCTTTATAGAGCTTCACTCTTGCAAAGCTTACAAAACAAGCTAAGCAAGAGTGAAATCCCTCCATACACGTGTATGGAGGGGGGCCAAAGCTTCTTGCAGAAACCTGTTTTGACAGCAGCAGAGGGCAAAACATGGCATGGCAATGCATTTCAAGCAATGTTTGCACCAACCACACTCCTTATCATATTCATGACTCAAAGGGGCATGTGCCAAAATGGCCAAATACATGGTCGACTGACCACAAAGAGTGCCGACCGGCCAAATATATGGCTGATGGCAACAAAACACTGGCCGGTGGCATCAATCCATGGCCGGTGAGGTGTGAGGATGGCCCACAAGTCACTCCTTGCCCCTCAAAGGCAAAACACAAGTGTTTGGTGAAAAACTAAACACAAAATAGTCGAGTCGAGAGATCTTGAGGTAAGGCGCGTAGCCGAGACCTCCGGGAACTCAAGACGAACACAAACATAGATGATCACCTAGTGTTCAAACGGTGACGTCCAAGTCTTGAGGACGGTCAAAAATGGGGTATCTACAACTGGTCTGGGTGTTGATCTTAGTGGCATAGAAGTTGACTGTCATGACAAAATATACAAACCAAGCCCAGGGCGAAATTGACGTCATTGGTGAGATGTGTGAAAGAGGAGCCAAGGCGTGAATACAGGTTGAATGACTACGAGTACCTTAGCGATGTTAGGCGGGTCAAACTGACTGACAGAGTGACAATCTGTAAGGGAGTGGAACCTAGTGTAATCTACACTTTCAAGGGCGTTGACGTGGAGCATAAAACCTGGAATGGTTTTGGTATGAATAGGAGGCACATTGTGTGGAACATGTTAAAGGATGAAGACATTCAATTGCTAGAGAAAATGTACAGCTTAGATGGCGACAGGTAAGTTACATGTTGGGAAGTTGAATTATGTTTTCATTTGAAAAATCCACCTTGCTGTAATTTTTTTTTTACTTTTTAAATTTGTTTATGGTTTGCAGGTTAATTATATGGGATGGAGGTGACAATGGGATACAAGTCCATTTCAGTGACATCAAAGACTTGGTGCAGCAGAACTCAATTCATGGGAATGTAAACTCACCTCTACCCTTGTCAATTGAATATTTCTTCCATTTGGTACAATTGTATTGATGTAGACATTTATTCAAACTAAATTAATTTGCGTTGATGTCAGGCAATGCACTGTGTTGCACTAGTGTTTACAAATTTTGTTATCTAGAATAATGAAATGTTAATGGTTGACATGTGGTGTAGGTGATTGATGTATATGCTGCTATGTTGACAGAAATGCATAAGATGGTCTCAGGGAGACAAGGATATCAGGGTACGACATATGTTTATAGCAATGTGTGTGCGGTACGTTACCATCCCCTACGTAGTTTTAATAACACACCAGGGTGAACTAAAATCTGCTATCATGTTAAAATGATGGGACTGTTGGTCTTAGTGAACATATGAGTAGGACATGATGCATGACACGAGTGTTATATTGCGGACGGAGTACTTGAACTTGCACACGAAGGCTGCTTAAGGTTACAGATACATTCTCTACCCAATATACCATGCCAACCATTAGACTATCATGGTACATGATTCGGATAGCGGGGATTGGAAACATTTCAACTCTATGAGGCCAAGACGTGGGGTTCGAGATGTGCATTACAATGAGGCTCTAAAAGTGGTAAGTGCTGTGATCTGTTGGTGATATTTTGTGGTGTTGACATGGTAATTTTGAACTGTTGAGTGTGTATATGCACTGTTGAATTGTTTATAAGCTTTTGTCTAATTTTACGTCGCCCATTACGTGCATCAATTAACATGTAACCAATCTACAGAAACAATGGGTGGCCTACCACCATAACAAATTTGTGAAACCAAGAGTTGCAACTCATGATGGTCGGGTAGAGGATTTTGATGGAACTCTTGCATCTGTTGTGGATTGCCCACAACAAGTTCCGGAGTCGTAAGTACTGTTACTTTTATCTTGCATGCTTTATTTTTGTGATGTATGTTGGGAATGCATTGACAAGTACGGTAAATACAGGTTGGATTGCGGAATTTTCGTATGCTTCCTTATAAGGCAGTACGTTTGTGGGGAAGATATCGACAACACAATAGACGGTCTCATTCCCATTGGTCTACGCGCTGCAATGGTGGAAATGTTCTTGAGTGCCCTGGAAAGAGGACTGCGTGTGAGGACAAAGTAGATTTTTCTGATAACCAATAGGGACCGCACCAAGAACATAGTAGTTATGTTCTAAAATAACGATTTGAACAATTATTTTTGCATGTGTATATGTTGAACTTGATGTTCACATATGTTTTTGGTAAATTGTCGTATGACACTTCATTAGCATTATGAATATTGGATTAACGGGTTAGCCGTTGGTAAGAGGCCGGTTTGTTTTTGGCTAATAGGTAATGTTAGTTTGCAATTAATTTGAACACTGCCTTCTGTTTAATGGTATAGGAATCCAATGGTACGATCGCAAATGTTTTTTTTGACTAATAGAAAAATGCATTGTGAGTAGTGTCCTTCTAAGTGGTTGGTGTAATTATATGCATTGGTAGGAGTCCATTACGGAGCACTCCTTCCAATTTTTGTTGTTGGTATGTTTGTATATTGAATAGGCATGTCAACGTTGTGGGTTTGGTAGTTGTCGTTCAACCGGCATGCATGTAAACATGTAAACATGGTGTAGTCTGTTTAAAAATTGACATATTTGGCTATGTTATGTGAATAAAAAAAACATGGATTGAGCTACAAGTACTTGTTGGCCCGGCATGTGCATTCCATTGTTTAGCTACAAACAAGTTGGTTATCCCCCCCATAAAAATCGCCATATTTGTTCTGAACCGTGAATACTTGTAACTTTGGGTGATAAATTTGGACTTGTGCAGGTGTTTAGAGTAATTGGAGTGTTAAGAAAATATCTCAGTTGAAGTAATGGGGTTTGGGTCCATGTTTGCGATGATGTGGACAGGTTACACAACAATATAATGTAACACACCAATTTGTGTTACACTGCATGAACTTCAAAGTGAGCCCACAACATGTTGAACACAAGGGTGGGTGTTATGTACTGATTGTTTTCACATTTAGACAAGCGTTCTTTGTAGCACATTTATTAAACTGAAAAACACAAAAATGGTTCGCTTGGGGGAAAAAAAAAAGTTCAACAAGCTGTTCAAGAAACAAATGCGGCAGTCCAAAGAAATCCTCGCTTTATGGTCAAAAATATTTAAGCACACAGCAATCCATCTATATTAGCTCTTTGCAAGTCTACCTATTGTGATTGCCCAATTTTTCACAATACCCACAACGAATACGTTGAATGATCTCGCCCTTCAATGGGATCCTCTTTCGTTTGGGCCTACCTGGCGGATGCTTCACTATCGGCTGCGCTATCATATAATCAGATGGGGTAACTGTTGGCTTCTCCACCGTTGGGATAGGATATATTGTTTCGTTGTATGAAGATCAAAATACGTCGATGTGGAATGCACGTTCTATGGAATGATATATGTTCCTTCCGCTATTACGGAATGCGACAATGACACGGGAACACGGGAACCCATTTATTTGCCACTGAAAATAAGAACACGTATGCCTAGCCATATCAACCAACACTGACGGGTGGGAATGAACCTCATACACATCATCATTAGCTTGGCTAACACACCATGCCCTGCTGTCGTTATATGCCTTGACCAATTTCTTCTCCATTTTTGGGCATATTACGCCGGCCCATGTGGAGCATTTAACTCTACATTCCACCATCTGCCCCATTATTTGACCCCTTATCATATCAACCAGACAAGTAATAAGAAGATGGCACGCGTCACTGACCCAATTGTTGAAGGATTCGGCAGCGTTTGAACACATCTCACCATACCGTTTCCCTCTGAAAAATAACAAATATCAACAGATACAAATTCCACCACCGATAATGTCAAGGGAAAAACATACAACAAATGAGGGGGATAAACGCGGAGTGTTAAGTACCTAAAATACGCTTTAGACCAATGTTTAGGGTGCAAGTCTTTCATAAAACCTTCAATCACAGCCAGGTTGCACTTCTTCAGTACGTCCATCTTCTCATTAAAACAATTAACAGTGGGCTCATAGGCACATTCCCGCAGCTTATGCATCAACCCAATTTGTGCGATGCATTCACATATTTCATGTGGTCTCGTAAATTCATCTACAGATGCAACAAACAATATGTGTGATGTGCCGACGAGAATGTGTTTGGCATAGACTGTAGTAATCCAACGCGACGGCCAGATATAAACGTCAATGTACGTCCATCACTAACAGCTTCTTTCAAATTCCGAAGAAACCATTCCCAATGGGCTGCATTTTCAGAATCAACAATAACAAACACCACAGGAAACAATCCTACATATAAACAATTGAATAGCAAATAAAATGTTCTGAATATTGTATAACAAAAAAAAGTTTGGCAATGTGAAATGTCCTATAACAATAAAATGTTCTGCAATTTGCAATGTCATATGTAAAACATTCAAAAAAGAGAGAATGAGCATATTAATATGTTTTAAATTACCGAAAATGATATAAAATACATTACAACCTGATTCAAAGACAAATAGTGTGGGGACGTTTATTTTGTAAAGTTGACTTTGAAACATATCGAAATCAAAAAATAAAAAATGCCCCAATATTGCCTTGATTCCTGTCTTTAACAGTAGCTGCAAGCAAATTACTTTTGAACCTCCCTTTCAAAAGTGTTCCATCCAAAAATAACAAAGGCCGACAATGATTAAACTCATCTATACAAGCACGAAATGATATGAAATACCGAACAAACCTCCCGATTTTCTGTTCAAATTCGAGGTCAATATAACTGTTTGGATTTTTTTCCATAACGGAATCGTTGTACCACCTGAGTTGGTTGAATGACATAGCGTGATCCTCATACACTTCACCCCTTGCTTTCTCGAAACCCAACCATGCCACTTGATAACTAATCTCCAATCCTTACTCATTTTTCAAATCAAACACCACATCCGTAGGGTGCGTCAATGGCTGATCACGCACCCGATCCGCAACAACATTAGACACCAAATCAGACCCCGTACATGGGTTCCTATGAGTCCGTACAGCAACACCACAAGTGTGCAAACTATCGAACCTCTTAGTGCATAACACGTCCCTTGATGGTAACATCCTTGCTTGAACTGACCATGTACAATCTGTGGATGATGCAAACTTACACATTATTGTAATTCGAACGGAATCATTTTTAAGATACTTGAATTGGAAACCACGTTCCATTGCATACTTGCATAGAACTTCTCGAAATTCATTTGCTTCTCCATCAAAACATTGTTTGACATGAGTAATCCCATATGCCTATTGAGCCGACAAAAATGTCTTCGATCTATTAGGACAGTACGTTGGTAAAAAATCCGTCTGATTGTCCACACCCAAATTATGAAGACCATCTTGGTAATTTCCACCATCCTCCGAGCAATCCACCACCCCACAACTACCACCCTCCCCAACATTCCGTGTCTAAATGAGGACCTCAATATGATTTAGCTTGAACGATTTACCAAGGCACAACATGTTCTGAATGTCATCATCACTAAAGAACTTAAACTTCTTATACACACAAACATCGAACAACAAAAACACCAAGCCCGGTACCAGTCCATCAAATTTCCCACAAATATCATCAACAATCTGTGCGAACGTCAACACGTGATGCAACCGAATAACAACATTAGTACAAATAAAAACCACACACCTGCTGTGATGGAACAATCCACACCAGAACGAACCCAGCAAAATGGCAGCACAAATCCTTGTTCCAATTGGGTAATCCATAGCAAGAAAAATGAAACAAATTAGCACCAAATAGTGTATATAGTGATGAAGAAATGGTTACCATCGAAAAAAATGGCCAACAACACACTCACTATCCCCACAATCTTTCCTGGAAAACAATAAGATCAATGTTAATAAATCAAAATCCCACCCACACGTTAACATTTCCTTATCCACTATCAAACAAAATAAATCATTTAGGTAACCAAACCCAGCAAGGGTAGAAATGTAAACTCAAATGGGATGAAATCACCCACAAAACTCTTGTCAAAAAAATAGGACTAAATGGTTTACCTTTCCTCCATATAGGATTTATGGGTAATTTTTCCTTTTTTATTTGACTAGATGGAATCGCATAAAAAAATTAAAAAAAATATCATGTCAACCGTTAGTGAAAATAATAGGACATTCAGTCTAAAAGTTTAAATTTCAATTTTGCTTATCCAAAAGTTCAGACAATGAAATATTTTGTCTAAAAGGACAAACTTAACAAAAATGGAAAAATACCCTTCTTTATATATCTACACACTATGGTCCAAACCCTTTCAAAGGAGCTTTTAGTCATGTTTTACCATGCTTCAGCCCTGTTTGGTGTTGTTTTGATCATATATGCCATGCTTTGTATAGCCCTAAGGCATCCTAGCTTGTTAGCTTCAAGTGTCCAAGTCACATGTATGCATTACTTGGCTCATTTCAATGATTTGGCATCATTTGTTATGATATTTCAGTCCATGTTTCATGCTTACACACTTGCACATATCACTCCTTTAATGTTTTAAAGAGTTGATGTCTTATGCCTCATGAATGGACCATTGTGTATGCCTCCATGCTTAGGTCTTTGGGATGCCATCTAAGTGGGTTTTTGGCTTATTTTGATATGCCATAACTCTGTTTTTCATTGGTTAATTCATGCCATGTTTGGTTTTGATAGGTGTAGTGTAACACCCCTTTGTAGTCTTGCATGCCTCATGCCTTTTGGAGTTGTATTCTAGCTTGTGTTGGCTAGTTTCAAGCATATTTTTGGTCTTGTCTTGACCTACATTGGGACTGTTTTGAGTGCCCTTGGCCCTTTGGGGCTTGCTTTGCATGGCCATGGTTCGAGTCCCTTAGCTAGCCTTAAGCTTTAGGCTTTCTTGCATGCCACATTTGCTTTGTTTGGTTGATTTGGCATCAATCCTCACATGATTTCAGAGCTTATAATGTTTGTCACATGTCCATATTTTTCCTCTTTTAAGTGCTCTTGAAAGTTGTCCTCCTATGCCTAGGTGTTGGACCATTTACAAGTGCATGTTTATTTTGCATTTTCATGCTTCCAATTCATAACTTTGGCCACTGATTTTGGGCATGGCTGAGGTCTGTCCATCTTTAGTTTAAGTCCATTTACCATGTTGTTTAAAGTTGCTACTTTACATCATGCTTACATGCTTGTTGCATGCTTGTCATATTGCATGTTGTCACATGCTTACTAATTGACATGTTGTTGCATGCTCATCCATCTTGCATACTTGTGGGATTACATGTTGTCACATGCTTGTTGTTGGTATTGTTATCACATACCTATGCCATGCATGTTCACATGTTTAGGTTGTATGCTTATTGCATATTAGATGCATTGCATGATCTTGTTGTATACTTGTTGCATGCTTGAGTTGTTCGCATCATGCTTGTATGTTTGCATTGCATTATGTGTGCATTCCCTTGCCTCTTGATCAAGCATGATAGAGGTTGGGGCCCCTTATGTGTTTTGTGCATTTCATTTGATATTGAATTGCACACTTGGCTCATTTGGCCATCATACATTGGAATACGTGATTGGTGGCTCGAGAGTTGAGAACTACACACCTTTGAGCCTTCAACATGATAAGGGGTGTAGTTGCAAACATTGTCTTGCAAATGTATTGCCATACCTCTGTTTGTCCTTTGCTGCAGCAAAACAACTTTTTGCAGGAAAGGATGGCCGATCGGCTATCTGGTGTGCCGATCGGCTAAAAGTGTTTGGCCGATGACCTCATAAATGGTCGATGGCACCTTTCCTTTGGCCGATGGCTTCACCATTTGGCCGATGGCCCCTCAGCATGTCCATGAAGTGGTTCTAGAGCATTACAGGACTTTTCACAGTTCTCAGAGGTGCAAAACAGTGCAAACAAAGGCAACATGAGGCATGACAACGGATTTCCGAGCGAAGTCGGTCGAGCATGCATCTGTCCCGTTTATCGAGGCCACTTTACTATTTTTGTAGCTTAATTAATTTGTTTAATTAGTTAAGAGTTGTGTAATAATTAATTAGCTTGTCAATTAGTTAATTAGATGGTTTGTATTATTATTTCAGTCTCTCCTTCGAGAGAGCCAATTGGTGTAATAAGTGTGCGTGTGTGTGATGCATGTCTTCCAACCCCCATTTCTTTCTCCCTTTTACTTAATCGCTTACGATGGTTAGTTTTAGAGCATATTTCATTTAGCATCCTTATGCTATGCATGTTTGCATCATTCATCTGTATTGCATGCACCGGGCTCGGCGCATCATACTAACTGCATTGTATTTCAATTCCTACTTGAATACATGTATCGAGTTGTCGCATCTCATATGCCATCTTAGAATAGCCGAGCCTATTTCTAGTTACATCTTGCATGTGTTGCATTAGCCATCTTAACATGAATTAGGATCATGCATTGATTACTAACTAGTTCTTTGTTTTGGCTCGGAGTACACTGTGAGTGTTTACGCTTTAGCATATTGCATGTGTGTTAATGTTGCCATGAAAGCATGCTTGCCATGAGGCTAACTGCTTAAATGATTAATTTCCTGAATGCCTGTGGGTGAAGGTTGGATTACTTGAATTGGAATAATTCAGTGAAATTTGCGAATTTAGCCTACTTGTGAGTAGCAAACTCCAAACAATTTTCACAAATGAACATGCAATGTTTTGTTCCAAATTAAGCGATCTAGTCTATACTTGTGTGTTGTGCGCATCACATAGTAATTCTAGCTAAAAACTGGAATAAGAACGCATGTGTTTTCAAAAACAAGATATCATGCTTAGTACAGGCCGATCTTTGATCGGGCAAGTGGGGGTGCTCATTGCATGACATTCCCCTCTCGTACCCAAGTTCCCGAGCCGAGGCAACTTTGGTGATGACGGACACGTGGCCTTAGGCACGAGTCAAGGTTTTATAAATTTTCCAAAAATAAAATATTTAGGTGGCGACTCTGTATCTGGCAAAGTAGTCCATGTTTGGCACTTCTTTCTTAAAAATCAGTTTTCCAAAACGATTTGCCGGATTTGGACTCTTTGGTGATTTATCAGACTTGTATTGCACTTTGCGAGATTAGATTCAGAACCATGACATTGAGTTCGAACTGTAGTAGCTAGAGAACAAAACGAGATTTTCTCGGGAGTCCTCGGGTCATGTCTACAGCTGGGCCTTGATTGGGCATTAAGCAGGCCAGTGGGTCGGGCTTGGCTTCAAAATGATAGCCCAGGCCTAGGCCCAAGGGCTTAGGATGGGCTTGGGCCTGGGCCCAAATAGGCTTAAACGGGCTAGGCCTACCCTAGGCCGCGGGCGGGCTTCGGGTTGCCCATGGGCCGCGGGCCATTTTTACACTCCTATGTATACTTCACAAACCTTCAAAAGCTTACCAATAATCACCATAAGAACACAATCCATTCTCAAAATGGTGAAACCTACTATTGTCCTTCACAATTATCTTTCTACCAACAACCTTGGAAATAAACTAGATTGGAGAATAATAGTCCACATGTACTGTAGACACCACATTTTTGACCGCCCTTAAGACTTGGGCACCTCATGGTGAACACTCAATGATGAATTGTTACGTTGTCCAAATCGTTTAATTTCCTCAGCAAAAGGCTTCAATTTTCAAGCTTCGGAGCCCAAACCTTGCACCCTCTTTGAACCAAAACCTAATTTTTTTTTTAGCCTGACCAATTAGAGGCCTGTTGGCTAAAAGGTGGTTGATAGGCCAATTTTTATTGGCCGGCCGTCCTTCGTCATGGTCGGCCGGCCATGTGTAGCGGCCCACAGATATTTTGCTGCCAGCTGTCACCCCATGTGCATGCCTTGCACCAGTTGGCTTAATACAGATATTTCCGATAGGGGAACCTATTTTTCTATAAATAGATGACCATCCGTCATCGTTTTAGGTTAGAAAAATTTGCCAAGAGCCAAAAACTTGGCAAACACCTTCCCTCTCTATCTTGCAATATACATACACTATACATACACTTTCTAAACCAAAATTTTAAGGCTTCTTACAGAGGTTATTGAGCCAAAATTTCAGCTCTTGAGGGTGATCAACTTGTGGTTTGTGAACAAAAGAGTATCCTCCCTTTATGAGGTATAACCTTTACCATCTTTTGCTTTGCTTACACTACTCTTTTCTTCACTTTTTCACACTATTTTGGATTGCTTTTGTGGGCTGAAACTTGTGATTTAAAAGCTACCAAAGGTGGAGGGGTTGACCACCCTTTCTTGAACCTTATTCCATAGCTTATAGCCTTGTTTTTCCCCACTTGTTTCTTTGCTTTTAGCTACTGATTTTCAGAGTTTTTAGAGGCTAAAACATGTGATTTTAAGGTCCCAAAAGTTGAGGGGTGGGCAACCCTTCCTTAGGCTTGCTTACTAGCTTTATTCTCTTCTTTTTTTTGGTTTACTTTTCCTAGCTTTTCAACATGATTCCAACACTTTTTTTTTTGCTATTTTAGAACTGCTTTAATTGTTTATTTAATTTATGCCTAGAATACTATGCTTGTGGTGTTGTAAAGTCCCCATGGATTTGGGAGTTTAGGCCTTAGACACCAATCCATTTGAGTTGATAGCTTTTTATTCATTATTTTTGTATAAATACTCATACTTATGATTATCACATATGCATAATCATCTCTGAAACCTCCCTCCTTTCTTTTTTCCTTTGATTAAGAGGTGTATCCAACAGTAAATTGTTGCTCAAGGCTTGAGAAACAAATTTTCTATGATTAATG